ACCAACTATCCTGCTTCTCTAGCCTCCCGTCGGTGAACGCTAGGAACGACGCCTCCACTAGATTCCTAAAATAAAACCACTCCCTGTGCCACCCCCGGTTGGAGTCGCAGGGGGTGTACACGGGATACGAGCCTCCCACGCTCGATTTCCTCTGCAGGGCGAAACCCCCCACCGGCGCGACCTCGGGCGGATTCCCCACTAGCGAAGCTCACCCAGAGAATAGCCGCCGGAAGAAGTCCGCATGCGGCTCCATCCCAAGGAATGCCTCGCAGATGGTGACAAAGCCGGTGATATGCAGCACCCCCGTCGAATTAAGGTGCTACAGCTCCAAGCCCCACTTGTTGAGGAGCCCACGTAGGAACCAGTGCGCGGGGTATCCTAACCCGCGCTCATGGAAGGCGAGAAAGGAAACCACCTCATCAGGCCGAGGTTGCGGGAACTCCTCCCTCCTGGGAGCCCTCTAGTGCGCCACCTCCTTCAGCGCAGAAACCCCTTCGTGGCAAAGGCCTTCAACACTGACTCCCTCACAGTGGATGACCTCTAGTCCAACATTTCGCTCTGGGATCACGAAAGGATTTGTGAGTTTCTCTCTTCTCCCTCGCTCTCTCCCTTTGCTTTCTCTCCCTTTTCTTTCCTACAAACCACCGCGGCTCTCAAGAACGCTCTCGGCAAAAAGGAAAAGAAAAGGAGGCAGTAGAAGAGGAATAGGTGAAGGAACAGGGCGAAAACCTTCTCCCTCCTCCTACTTAAGGAAAAGGGTGCAGCGGTTGGGGAAGGCTTGCCGATCGGGAAAAATGAAACGGCGGAGCGAAAAACCCTCTCTCTTTCCCATTTAATGCAGATGGGACGCACCCTGACTGATGAGACGCGCCCTGCCCAACGGAACAGTGCCTGATCAGACAGGACGTGGCCTAGGCATGGCCCACCACTACCGCACGCCAACCACTACTGCACGCTGGGCACAACAACCAAAGCACCACCGCACGCAGGCGGCTCTCTGCCTCCCTAGGCGGGACTTGGAAAAACCCAAACAAAAGGATCTCTGCCAGGAGAGACCATCGGACTTCCTAAGTCGATCGAACGGCTCAAAAAAACACCAAGAGACAGGTAAGGAGAAAAGGGATGCCCCATGTAGGCCACGCCGACTCCGTCACGAACGACAAGCACGGGTCTCGGTCGGACATTTCTGACTGTTGCTCTTCAAACCTCATCACTCAAGTCATCAAGGTAACACTACCGACCCCCGCTATTTCTTTATAATCAGTTCATACATCCATACATGCATTCATTCCATACGCCCGTGCCCCCAGACGATTCAGGCCTTGAACCGCCCAGGGGCTCAGGAACTAAGCATCGCACATGCAGTGAAATGCATCACAACGCTCCGTGTTGCGTAATGAAGCGGCAGTTGCCTCATTCGACATGAGCAACGACAGTGCCAGGGGAGAAAACGCAGAGGAGCCCCATGCAGCCCTCGCCCAGTCTAGCAGATAGGGTCATCTCAACCTTCTCGTTCGATCGTAAGCCTCTGCCAAGCCCACAGAATCTCCATCGAGGGGAGGCTATTAGGCCACCTGGGTCGGTCTTCGGAACGACCTAGGCCTCTGCCGAGTTGCAGGTAAAGGAGTAGTGGAATGTCATAAGAGGGCTATGCCGACCCCGTCACGAACGACGGACCCGGATTCCACTCGATCATACCCGTTGGCGAACTCACCGAGCGCGTCACTCGAGCCCGAGTGATCGGGACAAGCGACAAAACTCAGCCCCTCCGGTTGTGAGGAACCGAGGATGGGGTAATGCACACAACTCAAACCGACCCCCATTAAAGGCCCAATGGGGCTCGGGGGCTCAAGACACCAAAACTCTTGGGTCTGCGACCCCGAACTCGCCCCATCAGGATCCACGTCTCCGACTCGCCTGATCCCACGGCGCGCACCGACGCCAGGATCCGCGAGCACCGTCTCGTCCGATCTCAAAACTAACTAACTAACTGCCTTGGCTGTGCGGACTGCACCAAGGCCAGGGTCTGTGACACCAAACTCGCCCAATCCATCAGCTACGCTTTGACTGCACACCAAATGCCTGGGTCTGCGACCCCGAACTTGCCCCATCCGGCTATGCCTGCACTCCAAAAAAGTACCTGGGTCTGTGACCCCGAACTCGCCCCATCAGGATCCACGACTCTGGCTCGCTCGATCCCACGGCGCGCACCAACGCCAGGATCCATGAGCTCTGTCTCGTTCGGTCCCTAAACTAAACTATCTCGATCCCACGGCGCGCACCGATGCTAGGATCTAGGACTCCGACTCGCTCTATCCCATGGCACGCACCGATGTCAGGATCCACGACTCCGACTAGCTCGATCCCACGGCACGCACCGATGCCAGGATCCGTGACTCTGACTCCCTCGATCCCATGGCACGCACCGACGCCAGGATCCATGACTCTGAGTCACTCGATCCCATGGCGCGCACCGACGCCAGGATCCGTGACTTCGACTCGCTCGATCCCACGGCACACACCGACGCCAGAATCCATGACACCGACTTGCTCGACCCCACGGCGCACACCGACACCAGGATCCACAACGCCGACTCGCTCGATCCCACGGCGCGCACCGACACCAGGATCCGCGAGCTCCATCTCGCCCGATCCCTAAAAAACTAACCACCACGGCTGCGCAATGACGCCTTGGTCGACAGCTCCGTCTTGACCAAAAAACACGCACACACGCCCACTAACAATACCCCCAAGCGATTCTGCCTGAATCGCCCGGGGGCTCAGGGGCTACACCCGCGGGTGCGCTCGCGCGCACCAGCCAACGAAACAAAAACCTCCCCCGCTGGCAACACGAAACCCCCCCCAAACGATTCTGCCCGAATCACCTGGTGGCTTGGGGGCTACACCCGCGGGTGCGCTCGCGCGCACCCGCTGTCAAAACAAAAATCCTCCAGATGATTCTACCTGAATCGTCCGAGGGCTCGGGGGCTCCTGTCGGGTTTATAAACCCGGCGTCCCATGTAGACCGGCTTCCCCACAGAGGCTCGCCCGAAGCAGACAACGCATGACTCATCGCCCGACCCAAGTGCCTGAACGATAGGCCAGAAGTACGATCCAATCACCGACCATAAGGCCTAGGCCGAGGAGGAACGGCGCCCGCTTTCGACTCTGACCCGCCTCTCTAACCGGAGCGCTCGCTTTGGTCTCCAGCCCGCCTCCGAACGACCTCTCCGACCGGAAGGCCTGGCCCAACGCCGCTTCCAACTCTGACCCGCGTCTCTGACCGGAGATACGGCAAACCCCTGCTCACTGCTCTTCTCCGATCGGCACGGTCAGAACCGACTGGGATCAACCGACCGGGGACGCCCGCTCGGTAAGGACTAGGAAACGGACGGAGAAAATAAGGCAGGGCGCACAAGTCAAACTGCAATACCAGGGTCCGTACCCTGAGCACCTATAGAAACAGTACTCTGCAACCTCCCTAGCACGACAGAGCCTAAACAGTGTTGTAGGCGCCGACGTTTTCCCCTACAGTATTGTAGGTGCCATTAACTCCCATACGGTAAGGCCCCCATGCCTCTGAGCATCAACAGTGTTGTGGGCGCCAAGTTTTACCGTACCAGGAGAACATGGTAAAAGTCCTCACATGCCTCTAGGCATCAACAGTATAGCAGGTACCGACATCTGCCATACCTGAACAAGACGACATAACCTCTCACGTGCATCTGACATCCAACAGTGTTGTGGGCGCCTACCATCATCCTGTACCCGCCGGCGTGGGCAACAAGGATTAGAAGCATACGTATTCTCTCCCTCTCACTTGTAAGACCATCCCCTTCATCTATAAAAGGGGATGCGCTCTCTCCCAAACATTCAGATTCAAGTCATTATAGATTCATTAGATCGATCAAGTTCACTAGTATAGAACCGCCAGGTTCAAACCACGAGCACACGCTCGAACACGTAGTTCATAGCGGGGCTCCCGTTACTCTCGGCCCTTTCGGCAGGAGTCCGACCGGACCTCTTGTACCCCCCATCCTTCTCCTTCTCGATTGTAACCCCACTGTAAACTTCGAGCACCTGGGCTCAGGAATAAAGTCACCAACCGACTTAAACTGGACGTAGGGCATGTTGCCTGAACCAGTATAAATCCTGTGTCATTGAGTGCTAGGCCATCTCCGATTACAACGTACGGCAAAACTATAAATATTTACTTGTTAGTCACTTTCTGCACTGACAGAATGACTCTTTGTTAAAACTGATTTTCAGATAACCTATGAAAATCATTTACAAAGGCGTCCTAAGGCACCCGTTTCTGTTAATCGATAGAGATGGGCATCTTAAGATATCCGCCGCTAAAAACCAATTTTTAGAGAAAGAGGCTATGTGAATCGTTGCTGTTAATAGTGATTTTTAGAGACATATATTTGAAAATCATTTACACTCTGTTAGTCGTATGGTTAAAAGAGGTAGGCGCCTCAGGACACCCGTCTCTGTAAATCGATCAAAGACGCGGCCACCTTAGGGCGCCTCCGTAAAATGATTTTCAGAGGCGAACATTTTCCATTTACGAAGGCGATCTCTAGATGTATCTGTCTCTATTAATCAGTGAGGTTGACACCGACCCTAAAACCATTGTTATGGTAGTGTGTGATCCTAAAATCCCTTAAAACATAATGGAACGTTCTTCACAACGCCGCCAATATATTTACACTTTTGTGCAACTTTCAGAAGACTGTGTTTATTACGCATCGAGCTAGCAATAGCATATATAATTCCACGTAACCATCACACATGTGATGTACCTCTGTAAAGTTTTACATGCATCTTTGTTCATGACAAGTTGAGGTTATTTTACACGACGCCACGACACGAAGCACATGCATGATCGATGCATCCACCCACTACACCTAGCTAGCTACCAACTCTTGTCACGCATATACACATATACACAGCCATCCACCACATGTACAAACACACCAACCTGGACATGATTTCACCTAATTCTGATTCACATGGCACGTACTGCCGCCGGCCGCCGCCGCCGTGGTCGCTTCCACGGCGGTGGCCGTGACGACAACGCTGGCCGCCGACCGCTTAAGGAACTCGATACAGTCGTCCACCGCCTCGCTCCGGTACGAGTCCGTGTACGCCACTGACGCCGCCGCCGGGCTCACGCGGTCGGCCGCTCTAGACGGCGTCGCTGCCGCCGCCGCCGGCCGTCGCATCGTCGTCGTCACTGGGGCGCCCTTGGTCGTCGTTGCCGTAAACGCAGCCGACAGCATCGCAAGACGCAGCACGACGTACCGGACACGGTCCAGCATAGACACCTGCGTGGCAGCGGCTCCCCGTCGGGGTCGCCGGCCACCGCCGCCGCCGCGCAGCCTCGGGATGCACGTGACTGTCGTCTGCTTCAGGTTCAGGGGCTCGGCCTGTAGGTTCATGTTGGATCGAGATCTCTCTATACTTTGTGCAACCTTCTATGTTGCTTCTTTGGGCACACACAGTAGTAGCTTTAGCTCTTGTTGGACTCCCTTTGCCGAGTTTGATGGGCTTTATATACATGGAAGAGAAAAGGCATTTGGTTATTCCAGTACCTGTCAGCACTGTATTTTAGCAAGATAAAAAAACATGTCGAAGCTACGCAACTTGGTGATTCACATGTTGCATGCAGAGCAAGGGCAGAACAACGGCCAGCACTGCTGCATATCTTTCAGTTGCATGATTGATTGTACAGACAACTAGGCTTGTCTGTATTTGCACCATATAATAGAAAATGCTACATCCATCCCAACAAAAACATTCTACTATTCAAATTTTGGCCCACAGAGAAATAACATTCTACCACTTGGGCACTTAGTGGGACCATGTACCTTAAATCACTGCTGGTTGCTTTGGAGCCGGTAACGATAGTGTATCACTGTTGGTTGATGGATTCAATCGACAATGATAGGTGGATTTTTATTATTGGTTCGTGGCTACGACTAATAAGGGTAGGCAACGTACTATCGCTCTCGGTTGTAGGCACGAACCGGCAATGAAAGTTTACCTATCACTACTCTAGATCTATAACGAAAAGTACTATAGAATATTGCCACTTGGGTAGAAACTGTCAGAAAAAGATGTTAGTCTTCTAGCCTCATAGGGTATAACAAACTTAACAAAATTCGGTTACTTAAAATATTATGCATGGTAATAATATTCTTAAACTATCCAAATAATTGGACAGACAAAACAAACACTTTTACAAAAGATGCCACTTCATATATGATGTAAAATGTAACCAATATAATTCAAGAAAATACAAGCCAAAAAAATCAACCAACATCTTTCTTATGATAGTGATATTGCTGTTTAGCTAAAGTGAATATTATATTTGACGATATCTATTCTGAATAAACATGCCGGAATCCCTGGATTATATGCAACACGAAATAGCTTTGCATAGGCTGGTAAGCTGGTGACTTAATTTCTAGAAGATATGGTTCCATCGACAATCATTCAAAGGAAGATCAAGACCCTAGCTACAAGATTCTTATACAACACTAGTGTGTGAAGTTTGTTTTCAACAAAAACTGTCTTATGCATGACCATCTGATGGAAGCTGCCAAAGCAGTGAGCCACGACAGCCCTATTTGGAGGATTTGATTCCTCACATTCAGCAATTTGACCCCCAATTATCAAGCCGACCACCGAATTAACTAAGCCATCAATTTGGTTGTGAATATTTAAACATCAGAAGATAAGACGAGTTGTCTTGATCTTATTCTACTGCTTAGGCGGTGGTTAGAGATTAGATTCCCCAAATCTGAAAAGCAGGGGAGATTCAGCAAGTAGAAAAGCCATTTAATTATATTCCAGACGAAAAAACATTTGTTTCTCTTTACAGAAGAGACATATGATCCTCGTTGCATCGGAAGGCGTGGTACCGGTTGGCAGTGTGATGTGTAAATAATTAAGGGGCATAATAAGAAGTTAAAACAATTCGAATAGAAATCGTTTCCATAGTCGGACACTCAGGACGAGCGCCTGTAGTCAGCCCACAAGCTCGCCACGCTTGCTGTCTACGCGTTGTGGCCTACAACAGCCACTGGGGCCTGTGGCCCGTGGCTCCGAACCACAAGCCGCGCACCTCCGCTGGTGAGCGAGGAAACCTGTCGCTACAGCGAGCTTATCGGCTGCCGTGATGTGTGTGCCTCCCCCGCCGCCACTGACTCCTTTCATGTCCCAAATTCTTATTTGACACGGGTGCGCCGGTAACAGTATCAATGCACGATGTCTTCCTCGTGAAACCCCTTGGTTAGGGAGGGTGGCAAGTGCGCAGGGCAGGTAGGAGGCCGGCGGACGGGTGGCGGTGGGGCGGACAGGCCTAGGGTCAGGTTTAGTTTTGAGCTTGGAAAAAATCTCTAATGTTCTTGGGACCTAGAGGGATGGCCGGGGCGGTGGCTGGCATGGTGGTTGTGGCGGTCCGAGGGCGGCAAGGCGTGGCAAGCGAGATGCAGAGGGAGGCAGGGAGTGACGTAGCTTGTTGGCCAAGAGAGATCAGAGGGCCCCACATGGGTACTTTCAGGTTGTGTGGGATGATTTGTAGACAGAGTTTCTTGGTGACATAATTGCTAGAGAAATAGCAAGTAGTCTAGGATCCAGACTACCCTTATTATGTAACCATTTTATACCATTTGAGGATAAGTACTTGTCGAAATTGTCTGACAATGGCTAATTTCTCTTCACTGGCGTGGATATATAATGAGGATCTGCAGTTCTGCACATCCTGAGACTGCATCCGGTTGCTAGGCCGGTAAGGATAGGGCTTCTTCATTACTAGTGCACGTTGGGCTGGCACAAGTGGGCCAACACAGATGAGATGCTTTACATTGATGCTATATTAATGCTGAGTGATATTATGAGTTGTTTCATACAGTTAACTAATAAAGTCAGTCTTTGTAAGTTTCGTCCGCATTTAATAGGTTATCACATAAATATTATTATTTCTAATGATATAGCAGCGTTTATAGGAAGAGAGAAGAATTGAGTTTCATATAGATGGAACTCTCTTGGTCTGTTGGTTTCCAACTCTAAATGAGTTATGAAAATAAATGCCTATGAAACAAATTCCCCGTTCGCTTGTCTGAAAAAAGAAGCCAAAGCACTGTAGCGGCTGGTTGTGTGAGAGAGAAATACTGTAGCGGCTGGAAGTTGTACTGTAGCATGTGAGGAGAAGCAGCCGGAGCAGCCGGCTGGTCTGAAATTTCCAGACCAGCCGAACGCGCCCAAAGCATTGAAGATAGTTGTTTTATCTTTTTCTCATTGCATTCTATATGACTTTTTTTTCCAAACCACGCTATGAAACTCTCTACCAATTGTAGAGATTGGCCTAACAATACAATATGTCCCTTAATTTAAGCATTGGAAAATAGGCAAGTTGTCTTCGTGTGATTGTGTATGTTTAGATGGTAGTCATAGATTGAGCAAATTTCAAAGAACTACAAGTACATATGCCATTTTAACACAGGACCTAGGTTCTATACCCTTTTTCATAAGACCACCGTACAACACAAAACCATAGCTTTTTTTTTTCTCAACTCGACGCAAAACAAAATAGATCTGGTTTGGCCCACACCTTGCAAAGAGCATATGAGATGGCAACTTGGTTCATGTGAACAGTTCTTTTGTGAAAGTTTCACATAAACAACATGATCACTAGACTGAGATTAGTTCACTACTACAAAACAAACAATCACTGCCGGTTGCTTCGGAACCGCAGTAATAATCATTCCTGGTTCATAGCTATAATCGGCGGTGATAGAGTAGCTGGTAGTGATATGTAGGTTTTCATTGCCGGTTGTAGCCACAAACCAATAGAGGTAAGTATGTTTTACATTGTTTTGCACATTAAAATTCATAACTTTTTCAAATAAAGTCGGATTAAGACAACCTTTATACCACTTGTAGAGTTCAAAGAGATCTAAATCTTAATAGTTGATAACTTTAATTTGAATGGTTTATATGTCCAAATATTCAATATAAGTTCTCGGGACAGATTTGAGATGGTTGACAATGTTGAATGGAGATAAAGTCAACATCAAAGTTATAGTACTCGACGAATTCTACAACATTACAGATAACAACCTTTTCATTTGAGATCGTTTAAAGTGTCAAATATACAATATAAGATTAATAAATGTGTAGTTAAAAGAGTAACATCAATTATAAGTGATGTGTAGCACAGATGGTATGAACACTTGATACAATGTTGAGGTTCTGAGTTTGAATCCCTAAAAACACATATCTTCTTTTTATTTTTATCATTGTTGGATTATGGCTAAACCCGACACTGATCTCAAGCCTGTGGTGCATGAATTTGTAGTAGTGGTTGTTCTTCCTTAAAATATGCTCTACGAGATGCATTACTCAAAAGAATCTAACCTCCTATCGATCTAACCTACTCATCACGTTAGTTGAGAGGGACTTCCAAGTTAATTACCTAGTGTCGGTGTTTTGTAAACCGGACTAGTAAATTTATATGATTGCCACGCTACTCTAGGAAGAATGATGGTAGCATCCAAAAGACACGAGGATTTATACTGGTTCAGCCCAGAAGACTGATGGTAGCATCCAAAAGACACGAGGATTTATACTGGTTCAGGCCAGAGCCCTATGTCCAGTCTTAGAGATGATCGAGTGTGTGTTCCTCGCTTGAATGCTCTGAAGTTCTTACAATGGGGGTGCAAGAATGGTAGAAGAGGTAGGAGAGCTAGAGCTAAGAGATGAACAACATGAAGGGAAGCTTCAGAAGTCCGGTGGTATGTGGAATGAATGAGAATGAGAGAATGTCCCCTGGGATGGTGCCCTGGTTGCCCTTATATAGAGTTCGGGGCTATGTTAGGTACAAAGAAGAAGGTTCTCCCGACCGAGGGGTCGTGAGCCTGAGGGAGGGTCCTCGCTAACTTGGCTTGCAAGCTACACCATCTTGTGGCGCACGTTCGAGCGTGGTTGTCGTCATGGTCTTGTGCCCACAGTCACGGTAAGGTGTGACGTGGTGCTACTGTGCCGACCGTATTGGCACTGTAGGCGTGGTGGTGGTTCGCCAACCGTCCTGCATGATGTGGTCTCCACCGTAGTCTTCATGATTGTCTCCGGGTCTCCTGGGGGTGTCGTACAGGAGTTGGTGCCCGCCCTAGGTCATCGATCGCCTTGTTATCTTGAAGACTAGGTGGCCACAATCCCGAGCTTCGGGGACATGGCTCCCGCCAGTCTAGATGGCCTCTAAGTCAAGGCCTGCATCGTGGATCCCATTCCATAGTGGGTACAATCGTACATGCGTCACGTCGAGCCGTATCTAGACGGTGGGCACCGTACCTAGTCATCACCGTTGTGTGGTGTTGTCTTGTTTGTGCTGCATGGCTTAGGGATGGCGTTTGACCAGACTAAGGTGACCGTTGTC